TCTTAGAAAAACTGACTATTTTATACGCAATGTTTAACTTTATTGGATTTCTTTTTTCACTCTTAAAAGGAATCTATAACACATGTGCTATACACACACAAGTCAATATACAAGCAAGTGTAGCACGCATACTATTTGCAGGATTTTTTGGAATTTTTTCTACATCAATAAACAAAATTCTTTTAGACGCACAAATAAAAGAATACAACACAAAAATAGCAACAAGACAGAACACATACGACGAAGAACATAACAATGTAGACACAACGCCTACAGCACCACAGTTACCACCCCTACCACATAACCATCCACTATCCCTAGTCCCACGTAATTTTCGAAATTTAGCAATAACACATAATCCAAATTTTAGACCAACCATATCACAAAGTCCCATCCAACATATAATGACACACCACTCACAAGATGAAAATACTTATGAACAAATTATAGAACAACCCCATACCACCGCTTTTCAGTCTCAAAATAATAATTTTTTTAGCCCACGATGAGCCGACAACTTGGATCCCTACACCGTTCAAATTCCCATCCAACCAACCTCACTACTCCAATTACAATAATACCACTTTTTGCTTTCCCGCCACCCGATTTTCCAACCAGTAATGTAACATCAGGCATGAATTCCGACACTAATTCACACATCTCAGTTTTATACTCCACATCACAACTCAATAACCCGAATATTGAAACCCCCGATGAATTTGCCGACTCTGAACCATCTCCATCCAATAATTTTCACACCAACCCCTCAATTTTTTCCCAACCCCCTTTTCAACCAATACTACCAAATAACCCTGTCCCCACCAATTCTACACCCTCTTATGCTTCCCAAGTCACTCCAACCTATTCTTCACTTCATTCAGACCGATCATCCAATTCTCCAGATACACCCCAAATCTCCCCAGAACTAGATAATTTTATTACATTACAACAACAACCCTACCACCTTGACACCCCCACCATAAACCAAATTTCATCCACAATAGATTCATCCAACCCTCCTACCCCTACACCCTCTTCAATTTATACCGAATCATTACCACCATCATCCACATCTACTGAATCTTCACTCAGCACTAATAGAGCTTACCGCACTTTTAAAAGAAAGTTCCCCAACCATCCTTTCCCAGCAAAACCAGGAACAGCCCGTGAATATATAAATCATCCAAATCACACTAACACAAAAGAATTTTTAGCTATCACTTTACCCTCATTTCCACAATACACCTTAAACACCCCTCACGACACTAACGAAACACGTAGCTTTGTAGACGAACACGTTTTAATGCCTACCCTTCCTTGGACCTCATATTATCATTTTACTAATCCCCTTTGCTTACCTTTATCTAACACTCACATCGATATAGAACGAAATAAGGACATGCTATATCGACTCACTACACCACTAACATCTAGACAATTTACTTACATCGGATATAAAAAATCAGTAAAAACATACACTGCACCCCGAGCTAACGAATATACGCTAGAATATTACGATCATAACATCATCAGAACTAACCAAGATCAATTCTTAGACGATGACCGCTTCGCTAACCCACAAATCACAGAAAAATTTTTCATTAAAACACCATATGTATTTACACTTAATATCTTTGATCGCAAATTTGACCACATCATTTCAGAAGCACTAACAGACACACAAGCCTACGAAAGTTTTAAAGAACGCTTCCAAATATTTTCACTAACCTTTCATTTCCTTGCACCACATGAAAGAGATTTGCACTGCTCACACGATATTATGTTGCGCACTAAACAAACTCACACATATACATATTATCGTTTTATCCAAAATCACTTCGACCTACACACTCCCTCCAGACAACCACACCACCGTTTTCAATTCATCAACTCCAAATACACCTCACCATTCTTTCTTAACTTCACATATTGCATTAAAAATACTAACCTTCATGGTATTCTTCGAAATTATGATCCCATAACCCAAATGTATATTTTTTGTCCCATCACCAAGACCTTCAACGCAGAAGAATCCGGACCCTTCCTTATCCCACACGAATTTGTTCAACCTATAAAAATCCCCATTTTAGAATTCATCCACAACACTAAATTCAATCACAAATTATATAATCTAATCCAAAACACACCTTATGAGTTTGCAGTTGGCACTGAAGAACTAACCACCATTAAAGCACTTCAATTGCTTTGGCCACTGCTTCAAACTAAAAATATCATCCGCATCTTAGCTAAATTACTAACAACTTCAGATCTCATCCACGACATCTTCCCTCACGGTTTCTTCCCCGACGACTAACAGGTAAGTATGAATTATACATATTATTAACTAATTAAAATAAAAATTAGAAACTAACCATTCTTTATCCATGTCTTCTTTAGAATTTTAGCCTTCATCCAACGATCATCTGAAAAATTCACAAAAGAAAAATAAAAAATAGAAAACTCCTCCAAAACTGTTTAAGACTCTATTAATTTTTTGCACCAACAATTAAATAAATATAATACCAATGCAGTAATTTAATTTATAAATTTTTTTCCCCACAAGCAGTAAATCTAATTATGATGAAAATTTGTAACTTAATTTTCCCAACAAATAGCAGTAAAATTTGAATTTCTATGTAGTAAATTAATAAAACGCAAATGCAGTACTAACTTTTTGATATTTTCATTCACTCGCACAAGAATTCTATCCAAACTCGCACAGCTCGCCCACGAAGAATTGTTTAAATAATGAATTTCAGTTTCAAGCTTTCACACTCAACAACTCTAACACACGATAACAAATTTCAAACTTTCCTTTAACCCGGTTGGAAAAGAATTATATACTAAGCAACACTAACCAACGCAGCTTACTAAACACCACAAATCATAGAATAACAGCATGACTAAGAAAAGGAAACCAACGGTACCCAAACCGGATTAACCCAGTTTAAAACTGGATAATTTATTCTTTTGAAGACTATTATAAAGTCTAAGAAAGAAATAATAAAACACAAAAAAGTCGAAAGACAAACCCATACCACAAACAATTTGATTTTTGAAAAAAGGACACAACCAACAAAACATAAGAAAAATCACAACAAACCCAATATAAAACGTTGTCACATAACAGGACCTCTCACAAAAACCGCATGCAATCATACTCCCACTCCTGGCCTAACCCACCAGAAGAGGACGTCCTGAGCATGCTCTATAGCCGGCCTAACCCACCGCGCTACATCCACGCTTTGTGACACACACTCCTATTTTTAATAAGAGCTACTCAAGGGTGAGTAACTCTTCAAAATAACTGAACTAAAACAAAAAGCTTTTGTGAAAACAACTAACCAAAATCATAATTAAAAAACATTAAACTAATAAAAGTTTTATAAAATGTAAATTATATTATGCAATATATAGATCAGCATACAAGACCAACGACGAACATACAAAGACAAAACGACCCCACTACACTCGAAAAAGAATGGCCAACCACAATCGATATGCCGCTCACAAACACAACTCAAAGGATTTAGAGTACGACTTGACTTCGCAGAAAAGGACTTCATTGAACTAGACCAATGACCACCTCGATGTTCAAGTATACGTACAGATCCGAGTAACCAGGCATCCCCTCCACGCACAATCTCCACGCCATTCCCAGACAAGATCAAACACAAAGAAGTTCTCATCAATGAAACAGAAAAACCTGACATAGCCAACCATTCTGAAATCAGATTTGAGTTTGTTGCGAAAACCCAGTCGTTGTCATGAGAAGACACAACGATTGAACCTGGAACTTCTCTAACAAGAGAACCCAGAAGAAATATGATGTTCGCCAAATACCAACGTCCATCATCCATCCTTTGAATTACAGAAAGACTATTCTAAAAAACTCTGTAAAACCCGGATGGGTGGAACCTGATCTAAACTACATTTTATGATTGGATAAATTAGATATTTTACCAATGTAAAGTATTTAATATTAACCAATCATGATCCATCTGACTAACAATCCACTTATTTGTAAGTGCTGAAATTACTTGTAATTTCAGCACCAGAGAGATTTGAATTTAACTTAGAAATTAGTTGACTCTCCAAGAAGACTTCAGCAGCCGCAATAAACCAGTATACCCTAGATCTATTGAGCCTAGCAGAGACTAGTTAAACAACCTGAGACTAGATAGTATAAGAGTAAGATTAGGATTGGTATTAGACTAAGAAGTTGCACGAATCTATCCGGCCGAAAATAAGATAGCGTGACGAGCAGACGGTGTACCCTATCCGAAATTACTCTATGAGTTATACACTTCGGTCCTAACTCATCTGGTGCGACCTAGTGTTTCTTTGCATTAGATTGCGAAAACTTTCCATCAGTATCAAGTCATGTGGCCTAGCCGATAGCAAACTATAACATCAAAAATTGTGATGTTATAGGTTTTTTGAACGATATTTTAACATTGAGCGAAACTATATTATATGAAGTCTATTAAAAAAATTGAGCTGAATTTTTAAAAAAAAAATACCTGTGACTTTTTTTCAAAAATCTGTTGGTGTTTGAAAACTGACAATTAGGCTAACGTGCGAAATAATTTGTGCTTTTAACGCGTGTGAGTTTTTTGAACCCCTCATTTTCGTTCGAAGTTTGAATGAGGCAAGACTTTTTGAGTTATTGCATCACTAGACGCTAAAAACAGCCTTTAAAACTTGGTATGGCGTCCGATGAGAAGCTTCGAACTGATACGAGAATTTTTCTCAACTTTCAATTCAAGCTTAATGTGGACGCCAAATGAAAAAAAAAAGAAATGAAAAGTTTTTAGCGCTGTTGCATGCGTAGTAAAATTGTTTGCCAACAAAATGAAAAAAAAAATTTCGGTTAGTTTCATAAAGTTACAGAAAAATTTCGAAATTTTTTTTTAAAAAACTTGTAAATTGTTTTCACATCAGTGAAAATCCAATCAGTGAAAAATTTCAGAAAATCTAATGCAAATATGTTTTTCCAGGCGAATGGCAGGGGAAAGAAGATTCCCCACATCTACTGGAGTGCATGCAACATCACAGACGTGTTCCCCATGCAACTGTCCAGTGTGAGGGAGACGAGTGTGAACAAACTGCCGGGCATGGTGGAGTTGGCCAGAAAACAGGACTTCACCATTCTGATGCGGAGGATGCAGGCATTGTTTCCTGCTGGTAAAACCATCTCTTGAACTGTTTTTTTGTTTTTTGTTAATTTGATCAATTTTTCTACGCCCCCATTGTAAAAAAACGTAGCTTATCTGGAATTTTATCAGAATTTTCAAGAGAGCAAAATCGCATATTACTAATGTTCATTTTTGAGGATTTTTTAGTATGTTTGCAGAAAATCTTCCAAGATCCATTTCGACACTAATTAATTTGAAGAATCGTTTTGAAAAAGTGACGGGACAGGATCAGTAGCGAATTAAGGGGGGAGTGGCGGGCTGGATGCTTTTTTCCTCAGGAGATCGATCCACCGACTACCTAAAGGGACCCCCCTTTGGTACTTTTTTAAGAAATCTCCATTTTCGGTTGGCTGAACTTAAATTTAGTAATACATTTTACAAGTATAGAAGTGTAAGTTCAAGTTTGCGCGTGAAGCAAGTAGGAGTATACTGATTTCATTCAGAGTACGACTTCTACCCCGAGTGTTGGCTCCTCCCCCAAGAGACCAAGATCCTGCTGCAACACCACGAGGAAGCCAGGAGGGAGGGCAAGAGACAGTGGTACATTCTAAAACCAGATGGGGGCTCACAGGTAGGGATGGCGGTGGGGGGGGGGGGTTTCATTTACATACAACACATTGATTCTTTTTCAAACCCTACCCACATTTCAGATTACTATCTTCAAAGTTGTGCTATATGTTATTATGGATAATTTGATGTCAAAATTAAAATTGACGGCAAAAATCCCAAGGCGAACTGATTCGTTCACTTATGCGTGAAAATCATGATTATATTATATTACTATTTGTAAGAATTGCATACATTATATTATGATAAAATGGAATTTTTGTGAGACCAATTGTAATTTCTAACACTAGATAGAAACTCCTTATACCATTTTTACATATACCATTTTTATCGGAACTCTGAACAAAATTTAATCAACTTGACATGTTTGATTTTGCCGGAATTCCTCGCTTCTTCTGAATTTTGGTGTGCGGTTCAAGGTCATCCACAAGGTTATATACGCAAGTTTTATATAAAAGTTGTTGAAAATCGGCATTTTGTCTTTTGATCAAAACATATTTTTATACTTACACAATTCACCCACTATAATAATATCCATCTATGGAACTTGGAAAAATTCTGTAAACTTTCGAACAGTGACGTGTTTCAGGGCACTGGCATCCGAATAGCAGACCACCCTCTGAAACTAGAAGCAGAGGAGGGAGGGGGGAGTAACAAGAAGTATGTGGTGCAGAAGTACATTGAGGATCCAGTGCTCATTGATGGACTGAAGTTTGACCTGAGGACGTATGTGTTGATTAGGAAACTGCAGCCACTTGAGATTCTGTTTGCAAGTGAGGGTATGGCCAGGTGAGACAATACAAAAACGCGAATGGTTTTCTGAGCGTACAACTGGTAAGTTGTTAATTTTGAAAGCTGGACACGCATTGATTTGATACTGCAGTGAAACAAACTTAAAATGGACTTTCATGGTAAAAAAAAAGAAAAACAAATAGTTTTAATTAGCATTATATTGCGAAAAGGACACATATGGCCAACGGATTTTTTTGAAACGAAAATTCTGTCAACAATTTTTTTTTTTCAAATTCGTCAGAATGATTTTCTGATCTGTACCAAAACACTACGCAAACATTATTTAGTGCCGCTTGGAAACAAAGTTTATGGGCAATTTTTAGAAGGTTTTGACCAAAAATTGCGTTTTAAGGCGCGCGGTTGCCGTTAAAGTTTTGGTTGAGATTGGTGTCCTTGGATAAAACTTCGTATCCGTCAAACAAAATTTCTATCGTAAACTATTAGCAATGCAGGACACTCTTGGTGATCATGGTGCCGAATGCTCCCGCTAAAAAACCCTATATATGGTCTTCGTAAGCCGCAACTGTATATTGGCATACATTTTAATAATAGGATAATTAGCCAACCTAAAAATGAAAACAATATAATGTAAATCTTGTAACAAAATCTTTTTTGTTTTTTTAACAGAAAAAAAATCAATTTTAAGTGAAACATTAAAAAACTCAACTTCTAGACGCATCTACTTGGTTTGATGTTAGCTCTAACTTAAATCATATAAAGATTTTTGTTGTGAAACCAAACGTGAAAATAGGAACGTGAAATTTTCTACAAAAGAAGTATTTTTGGATTCCAAAGTGGAATCTATTTTCTAGATTTCTCAGCGGAATAAACATTTTATCTGTTAATCCAGTTTTCTCAAATTGAACCAAGTTTGATCCAAAAATCTTCAATCATGTATTCGTATAGAAAAATTGAAAAGGGGTTTGTGCCATATATAACTTTGGCAGAAATTCCCACGATCGTATCTTCACGTTCGTTTTCACATGAGAATTTTCAGTTAATTTAATTTGGAGCTAACAGGAAATCAATTAGATGCATCTATAAGTTGAGCGTTTTTAGTGTTTCACTTCAAATATTTTGCTACAAGGATTAATTTACGGTTAACTATCGGTTCGGTTAACCATCGTGGTTCGGTTACCCACCTTGGCCTTAAAAAACCTTTTTTAGGTTGACTAATCAGTCTTTTTTCAAAATGTTTAACCATATTTATTGGCGGCTTCTGAAGACCATATACACTCTACTATGGATAAATGGACATATAGCGGCAGTATTCAATACCATGAACACCACAAACATATGAATATTTATAGTTTTATTCGTATGTAATTATTAATTTATATATATATATATATATATATATATATATATATATATATATATATATATATGTGTGTGTGTGTGTGTGTGAGTTTTAACTTTTCTGTCGAGCACAAAGTTTAAGAATGCTAAGATAAGAACGTTTAAGAAAAGTGAACTCGATTCAACTTTAAGGCTAGACAGTACCTGCCCACTTTTTATCCAATTTTTTTTCGGTTGCAGATTCAATTCAGTCTGAGCCGTATTACTTTAAAACAGCAACCACTATGCTCAGGAAAACATATTTTTACCAAACTAATTTGCGCTATGAAATAACGTGAAATCTTTTAAAGTTTCATAGCTTGAATAGCTTCCTAAACTTTTGAACTTTAGTTTTGCGACTTTCCTTTGACATTTTAAAAGCTTGCCAAAGAAAAATTTGTTTTTTTTTACGAACATATTCGTTCTTAAAAAAATATTAAACTGTTTCAAAAATTTTGAATAGCTTGGATAGTTAAACCAATTCGCTCTTATAAAATACTTTTTTTTGTTGCTTAATCGCTTGAGTAGCTTACTAAGAAACTTTGTAAATTTTCGCCAAATGATTCGCTCTGAAAACAACAAGAAACTATTTCAAAGTGTCAAATTTTGATTATGCTCCATAGGAAAACTTAATTTTCTTGCTTAGAAAAGCTCAAATTCTTAGAACACTGATTCGCGCTATCAAATAGCTTGAAATATTTCAATGTTTCATGGCTGGAATTGCTTAAACTTAAAAAAATACACACTCATATATACATGAAGAAAAAAGCATTGATAATTTGTTTTATTTTTTTCAAAAGTAGAATAACTGAAACTTTTCGCCCATTACTTCGTGGTGGTTGCAGCGGTACAATTTTTTATGATGTGTGAAGGTTGAGTTCAAATTCCGAGCTTGTCTTAAAACTATGACTATTTTAAAACCTTAAGCAATTAGCTATGTCCTCATAAAAACTACCAAACAGAAAAAGACACGATGTTTCTATTTTGAGCGTCATATTGTTACTAATTTCTGACGTTAAATAAGTATTGAGTGTAAGTGTGCATGAATACCACCTGAACAAACGGTTCCAATTTTTGGATTTGACTGACGATTGAACACCACATAAAAGCATTCTACTCTCTTGCTTGTCTGAACCGTGTTCAACTGACCACAATCGGCTAGACTTGAATTTAATTTTAAAAAACTAAGACACATCAATTTTCTTGAAGAGCAATTGTGTTTATAGAAAAAATCTTATAAGACGCAATTCAATAATGAAGATCGTCTTGTCTGCTCCCTATGCATGCAAAACGCTGTCAAAGTTTATTTTTTTGTTTCAATTGGTCTATCAACATAACTCGCTGCGAGACCATAAAGAAAATGTGATCAAAATTTTGCCCTTAAGCAAGGTTCCCTTTTGATAATCATCGATTATAATCGGTTTTCGTATACAAAATGTTTGCCATAAAAGTTTCATTCAATACAACTTGGGACCACTCTAACGAAATATGCTAAGCGCTACCAATCTAAATTATGCTAAACTCCTCATTTTCAACTGTTAAATCATTCTAGTGATAAAGTTTATACAAAATGTCAAGGGTTCATTTCGATGAAACAGTATTTTGGTCAACAATGACCGGGCTGAACTTACATCGTTTATCATCACTAAGTCATTGTTTTTCTTTAGTTTAACTTTTCAGCGATAAACCAGCGTGACTCTTTAATGATCCTGCGATGAAAAGTATACTTATTATCAGCGCTCAATTCGCGGTGACTCAGTAATGTTGAATCGATATTTTGAATGACCAATCGCATTTAATTTGAAGCGTGAAACTTTTCTGCTAAAAAAAGTTAAAATCGATTTTGCAATTGAAAAAAGGATCAAAAACAAAGAAGACAACTGGAAAATTTCATTTTAACTCGACGGCTAATTTCATTGGAAAAAAACTGATAGAAATTAGCGCCAAACAAAAGTTGATTCTTGTCTTTCCTTTATCATTTTAGCTAAAAATGGCTAATTCAGCCAGCAAAATTAAAATCGATAAAAAATCAGCCTAATTTTTGGTTCTGCTCTACTCGAGCCGAAGTCGGGGTTGTACTCTACCCGAGCTGAAGTCGGGGAATTTTGATGCGTCCATTCCGACTGATTATTGGTATTTTGAGACTTTGCGCAACCAAAGAAGTTTCGCTGTTCGAGTTCAACCCTATTATAAAGGTTGTTAACTAACACTAAACTTGTACTTATTAGCGTGAAAATTTCTTATTGTTGACAACCATTTTGGTACTTATTTAAACCCAGTAAGTTTTTTCTCATCCAATGGCCTTTATGAGTGTAAGCTTAACTGCTGTTCATACAATTTTAAATTCTATGGCTAGCGAATAAAAAAAAATCAATTTTGTAAACAGAAATTATAAAAACTAATCAGATTTGAATACAAGACACAAGAAAAAAGTGGTATACCCGGGTTGACAAAAATCCTTATCATACAATTCAATACTATGTAAAACATGCTTATCATACGATTCCATTCAATTCCATAGAATAAAAAACTCGCATGAAAATCACACGATAACCATTTTTTCCATACAAAAGAATTGTATGATAGCCATTTTTTCCATTAAATGGAATTGTATGATAGCCATTTTTTCCATTGAATGGAATTGTATGATAGGTGTTTTTGCCTTGAACCAAAAAGTTGTTTTTTGTTTCTAATTTAATTTTTTGAAAGATTTTGGGTTCTGTTTGCAATCGAACCTAAGTGACAAAAACCTTGGTTACTCAAAGCAACAAAGGTTGAACGGTCTTGCTTTTACAATGCATAGAAAACGATCTGATTTGTCATCGAGCTGTCTTTAACAAATGATATAACAAAAGTAACAAACTTTTAATTTTTGGCAAATTTTTCAATGATGATTACTTTAACTTTTTGAATTTTCAAATTATCAGACATTAATCAGGGCATACATTAACACGCCATACAAAAGAAATAGGATTTTTCAGCGTTTTTGAAAAAAAATTGAAGTGAAAAAAAAAGCCAATATTATCGTATCCAGGACTACGTTATGCACACAAAAAATTAAATTTTGCATGCAAACAAATTTTTTTTCGGAACATGTTTGTTTGCGTAGAAATTTCATGCAAACAAATTTTTTTCGGAACATGTTTGTTTGCGTAGAAATGTTTGCGTAGATCTTACAAAAAAAACTCTTTTTGAAGGTTTTCCTGAAAAAAAAAATTCTATGAAAAAAGTTCTTATTATACAATTTTCATAAATGGAAATCCTGCGACAAACATTTTTTCCATAGAACCCATGCATGGAATTGTATGATAAGCTTTTTTTTGTATGGAATTGTATGATAAGCATTTTTTTCTATGAGATCATCCCTGGTAGTGGTGCACTTCATGTACAAGAGCAAAATTGATAGTAGCTTAACATACAATTGAACCACAAATCCGGTGCAAAGTTAATCCTTATTACTAACTTCCATTAAAAGTAATAAGTAAGCTATAAACGATTGCTGTTTCTTTTTTGCTAATGGTTGAAAATATGATGTGTGTTAATGAACGTAGTAAACACCAACAAATTGCCCTTTTCAAACTGGTATACGTTACGGCAATTGCCTTTTTGAAATTGTCTCAAACATGCAGTGAAAAGTGGGGAAGTTTTGTGTAATTTCTTCTTTTAATAACTGCTTGTTGAAAAATTGAGTTTCGCTATAGGTTGTGTTTTTTTTGGCTTTTTTGATCAGAAAAACGTTTTAAATTGACATATAAAGTTGTAAGTACAGAATGAATGTAAACAAATGTATGCACATATGAAGGCAATCATGTATGTATGCCCCCTTTGAGTTCAATTGAATTTCATTTAGAATGCCAATATCGATCTGCCAAAGCAAAACACGAAAAGACGCAGAAAAAAAGAATGAGTTTAAGTATTAAAAATTGAGTTTTTAACTTAATGAAGGAAGTGAAGACATTGCTTAGGCCGTGTTTCTCCTTCAGAGAAAGAAAAATTTTATGAACGAAACCCTCGGGTTCACAAAAAATGCTTGTCATACTATTTCTTATTATGAAAAAATTGCTTATCATACTATTTCATAGACCAAAATAAAAATACTATGAAAATAGCAAGATAAGCATTTTTCCATACAATGAATTTTTATGATAGGCATTTTTTCCATGCTATGAAATTGTATGATAAGCAATTTTTCCATAAAAAAAAATGCAAAAAATTTTTGTTTTGAAATTTTGAGTTTCATCCGAAACACTAACCCTGGATTTTTTGTCATAAGAAAACCTAGAGTGTAACTGGCAGTTACCACGCAGATAAACTGCATATGGTGATTTTTGCAACCTTATTTAATTTTTACCTTTTCACATGAAATTATATACCAAAAATGTAACTTTTTGTATATGGCTAGATAATCTTTGACTTGAATATTTTGGTGGTTGAGAAAGAAAGGCCTGTTTTTTACAAATTAATTTTTATCTTAGCAAATGAAATAAAAAAATAATAATCGTTTCCACAAAAAAAAACCTTTTTTCGTGATTTTTGGGTTCTTTGGGTAAAAACTCATCCTGGACTGCGTTATAAACACGAAAAATCAAGTTTTGCAGGCAAATTTTTTTTTGCTAAAATTATATTTGAGCACAAAAGCAAAACTGCAACCAAAAAAGGGATTAAAAACTTTTTACCTCAAATTTTTGTTTTTGCTTATGAAAAAAGCATATCATACAATTTTCCTTTATGAAAATTATATGATAAGCATTTTTTGACCAAAATTTAAATCATGTTTTTGCGAGTCAAAATGCATTCTTTCAATAAAATTTTTTCAAAACTCATGTAAATTCATCCAGAAACATCGTTAAATTAATTTTGAAGATTTTATTTTTTCTATATCAAAATGCTTATCATAAAATTTTCATATATGAAAAAATTATGATAAGCAATTTTTTGACCAAAAAAATCATGTTTTGTTTTTATTGAGCTGAAAGATTCAAAAGATGGAAATAGAACAGAAGTATTTCTCTACAAATGTTTAATACAGTTTTTAAATTTTGAATGAAAGTTGTATGATAAGTATTTTTCCATAGTCCCCTAATATGAAATTGTATGATAAGCATTTTACTTTTATGGACGTCAACGCGGGCCATATCGTAAAAGAATCTTGAAGTTCGAATAGTTTCAACTTGATTTGTTTTTGTCTCCAATATTCGATAAGTGAAAAATGTTTATTAAAAAAATCTATCTTTATTTTCAATTTTCCTTTTCCATCCATTTTTTAGCAAATTTTTAGCTATGTAGAAAATAATTAATTTTTCCAAATCTTTTTTGTTTGCCTAGATTCTGCACAATGGAGTACACAGTGCCCACTAAGGAGAACATGAGGAAGACATTCATGCACCTGACCAACTACAGTCTGAACAAGAACAGTCCCCACTATGTAGAGACCCCCTCCCCCACCAGTGGAAGCAAGAGAGTCATGAGTAGTGTGTTGAGTCAGCTGGAAGAGATGTATGGCACTGGCGCATTCCAGGCATGTAAAAGTGTTGGGGGGGTCGAACTATAGATGCAATAAATCGAAAAATCTCCATAATCTCAAAAATCGTTCTGAAACTCAAGCTGAGTGGTACTGATTTGAATTGTGTTAAAACAAAGTCAAACATAAAACTTTAACTCATCCGAAACATAAAACTTTAACTTCAAAAGTCAATAAAAGCGACAATGCCCAGCGAATACACGCCCGACTCAAATAGCTTAGAACATAAATTGCTTAGGAAACTGGATTTCAGTCAAAAACGGTCAATTAAACCCACTTTTTGGCAAATCGCTTCCAACAAACTCAGAATTGATTTTACTGATTTTTGGATACTAGTGGGACTCCAAGCAGAGATTGCAAACCTGTTTTATTTTGATTTGAACTCGATGTTATATTCTTATTCTTAACGTCGCTGAAAAAATAAGCGAGATACTTCATCTTTATTGATTTGGACGTGCCGTAGTATGCATATGTTTTACAAAAAAGGACCCTGTACTAGAATCAAAATCATTTCACTTTGTTTGAAATTTAACCGTTTGAATCGGTTTTTCAGGCGAAGAGAGCAAGAAGGAAGATTGAGGAGATCAGCGTGAAGATAGTGCTGGCTATGATGCCCGACTTACTAATACACTACCACTACGAGTTCGCATCCTCGTCCCCCAAACCACAGTGCTTCCACATATTAGGTACAATACTGACTGACTAATCCACTACCACTACGAATTCGCATCCTCGTACCCCAAACCACAGTGCTTCCACTTATTAGGTACAATACTGACTGACTAATCCACTACCACTACGAATTCGCATCCTCGTCCCCCAAATCACAGTGCTTCCATATATTAGGTACAATACTGACTGACTAATCCACTACCACTACGAGTTCGCATACTCGTCCCCCAAACCACAGTGCTTCCACTTATTAGGTACAATACTGACTGACTAATACACTACCACTACGAATTCGCATCCTCGTACCCCAAACCACAGTGCTTCCACTTATTAGGTACAATACTGACTGACTAATCCACTACCACTACGAATTCGCATCCTCGTCCCCCAAATCACAGTGCTTCCATATATTAGGTACAATACTGACTGACTAATCCACTACCACTACGAGTTCGCATACTCGTCCCCCAAACCACAGTGCTTCCACTTATTAGGTACAATACTGACTGACTAATACACTACCACTACTAGTTCGCATCCTCGTCCCCCAAACCACAGTGCTTCCACATATTAGGTACAATACTGACTGATTAATCCACTGCCACCACGAATTCGCATCCTCGTCCCCCAAATCACAGTGCTTCCATATATTAGGTACAATACTGACTGACTAATCCACTACCACTACGAGTTCGCATCCTCGTCCCCCAAACCACAGTGCTTCCACTTATTAGGTACAATACTGACTGATTAATCCACTGCCACCACGAATTCGCATCCTCGTCCCCCAAATCACAGTGCTTCCATATATTAGGTACAATACTGACTGACTAATCCACTACCACTACGAGTTCGCATCCTCGTCCCCCAAACCACAGTGCTTCCACTTATTAGGTACAATACTGACTGACTAATCCACTACCACTACGAGTTGGCATCCTCGTCCCCCAAACCACAGTGCTTCTACATATTAGGTACAATACTGACTGACTAATCCACTACCACTACGAGTTCGCATCCTCGTACCCCAAACCACAGTGCTTCCACATATTAGTTACAATACTGACTGACTAATCCACTACCACTACGAATTCGCATCCTCGTCCCCCAAATCACAGTGCTTCCATATATTAGGTACAATACTGACTGACTAATCCACTACCACTACGAGTTCGCATCATCGTCCCCCAAACCACCGTGCTTCCACATATTAGGTACAATACTGACTGACTAATACACTACCACTACGAGTTCGCATCCTCGTCCCCCAAACCACAGTGCTTCCACATATTAGGTACAATACTGACTGACTAATACACTACCACTACTAGTTCGCATCCTCGTCCCCCAAACCACAGTGCTTCCACATATTAGGTACAATACTGACTGATTAATCCACTACCACTACGAATTCGCATCCTCGTCCCCCAAATCACAGTGCTTCCATATATTAGGTACAATATTGACTGACTAATCCAATAACACTACGAGTTCGCATCCTCGTCCCCCAAACCACAGTGCTTCCACATATTAGGTACAATACAGACTGACTAATACTCTACCACTACGAGTTCGCATCCTCGTCCCGCCAAACCACAGTGCTTCCACATATTAGGTACAATACTGACTGACTAATCCACTACCACTACGAATTCGCATTCTCGTCCCCCAAATCACAGTGCTTTCATATATTAGAAACAATACTGACTGACTAATCCACTACCACTACGAATTCGCGTTCTCGTCCCCCAAATCACAGTGCTTTCATATATTAGGTACAATACTGACTGACTAATCCACTACCACTACGAGTTCGCATCCTCCTCCCCCAAACCACAGTGCTTCCACATATTAGGTACAATACTGACTGACTAATCCACTACCACTACGAGTTGGCATCCTCGTCCCCCAAACCACAGTGCTTCTAAATATTAGGTACAATACTGACTGACTAATCCACTACCACTACGAGTTCGCATCCTCGTACCCCAAACCACAGTGCTTCCACATATTAGGTACAATACTGACTGACTAATCCACTACCACTACGAATTCGCATCCTCGTCCCCCAAATCACAGTGCTTCCATATAATAGGTACAATACTGACTGACTAATCCAATAACACTACGAGTTCACATCCTCGTATCCCAAACCACAGTGTTTCCACATATTAGGTACAAAACTGACTGATTAATACACTACCACTACGAATTCGCATCCTCGTCCCCCAAATCACAGTGCTTCCATATATTAGGTACAATATTCACTGACTAATCCAATAACACTATGAGTTCGCATCCTCGTCCCCCAAACCACAGTGCTTCCACATATTAGGTACAATACTGACTGACTAATCCACTACCACTACGAGTTCGCATCCTCGTCCCGCCAAACCACAGTGCTTCCACATATTAGGTACAATACTGACTGATTAATCCACTACCACTACGAATTCGCATCCTCGTCCCCCAAATCACAGTGCTTTCATATATTAGGTACAATACTGACTGACTAATCCACTACCACTACGAGTTCGCATCCTTCTCCCCCAAACCACAGTGCTTCCACATATTAGGTACAATACTGACTGACTAATCCACTACCACTACGAGTTGGCACCTCGTCCCCCAAACCACAGTGCTTCTAAATATTAGGTACAATACTGACTGACTAATCCACTACCACTACGAGTTCGCATCCTCGTACCCCAAACCACAGTGCTTCCACATATTAGGTACAATACTGACTGACTAATCCAATAACACTACGAGTTCACATCCTCGTATCCCAAACCACAGTGCTTCCACATATTAGGTACAATACTGACTGATTAATCCACTACCACTACGAATTCCCATCCTCGTCCCCCAAATCACAGTGCTTCTACATATTAGGTACAATACTGACTGACTAATCCACTACCACTACGAGTTCGCATCCTCGTACCCCAAACCACAGTGCTTCCACATATTAGGTACAATACTGACTGACTAATCCAATACCACTACGAATTCGCATCCTCGTCCCCCAAATCACAGTGCTTCCATATATTAGGTACAATACTGACTGACTAATCCACTACCACTACGAGTTCGCATCCTCGTCCCCCAAACCACAGTGCTTCCACAAATTAGGTACAATACTGACTGACTAATACACTACCACTACGAGTACGCATCCTCGTCCCCCAAATCACAGTGCTTCCATATATTAGGTACAATACTGACTGACTAATCCACTACCACTACGAGTTCGCATCCTCGTCCCCCAAACCACAGTGCTTCCACATATTAGGTACAATACTGACTGACTAATACACTACCACTACGAGTTCGCATCCTCGTCCCCCAAACCACAGTGCTTCCACATATTAAGTACAATACTGACCGACTAATACACTACCACTACTAGTTCGCATACTCGTCCCCCAAACCACAGTGCTTCCACATATTAGGTACAATACTGACTGACTAATCCACTACCACTACGAGTTGGCATCCTCGTCCCCCAACCACAGTGCTTCCACATATTAGGTACAATACTGACTGACTAATCCACTACCACTACGAATTCGCATCCTCGTCCCCCAAATCACAGTGCTTCCATATATTAGGTACAATACTGACTGACTAATCCACTACCACTACGAGTTCGCATCCTCGTCCCCCAAACCACAGTGCTTCCACATATTAGGTACAGTACTGACTGACTAATACACTACCACTACGAATTCGCATCCTCGTCCCCCAAATCACAGTGCTTCCATATAATAGGTACAATACTGACTGACTAATCCACTACCACTACGAGTTCGCATCCTCGTCCCCCAAACCACAGTGCTTCCACATATTAGGTACAATACTGACTGACTAATACACTACCACTACGAGTTCGCATCCTCGTCCCCCAAACCACAGTGCTTCCACATATTAGGTACAATACTGACTGACTAATACACTACCACTACTAGTTCGCATCCTCGTCCCCCAAACCACAGTGCTTCCACATATTAGGTACAGTACTGACTGACTAATACACTACCACTACGAATTCGCATCCTCGTCCCCCAAATCACAGTGCTTCCATATATTAGGTACAATACTGACTGACTAATCCACTACCACTACGAGTTCGCATCCTCGTCCCCCAAACCACAGTGCTTCCACATATTAGGTACAATACTGACTGACTAATACACTACCACTACGAGTTCGCATCCTCGTCCCCCAAACCACAGTGCTTCCACATATTAGGTACAATACTGACTGACTAATACACTACCACTACTAGTTCGCATCCTCGTCCCCCAAACCACAGTGCTTCCACATATTAGGTACAATACTGACTGACTAATCCACTACCACTACGAGTTGGCATCCTCGTCCCCCAACCACAGTGCTTCTACATATTAGGTACAATTCTGACTGACTAATACACTACCACTACGAGTTCGCATCCTCGTCCCCCAAAACACAGTGCTTCTACATATTAGGTACAATACTGACTGACTAATCCACTACCACTACGAGTTGGCATCCTCGTCCCCCAACCACAGTGCTTCTACATATTAGGTACAATACTGACTGACTAATCCACTACCACTACGAGTTCGCATCCTCGTACCCCAAACCACAGTGCTTCCACATATTAGGTACAATACTGACTGACTAATCCACTACCACTACGAGTTCGCATCCTTGTCCCCCAAACCACAGTGCTTCCACATATTAGGTACAATACTGACTGACTAATCCACTACCACTACGAGTTGGCATCCTCGTCCCCCAACCACAGTGCTTCTACATATTAGGTACAATACTGACTGACTAATCCACTACCACTACGAGTTCGCATCCTCGTACCCCAAACCACAGTGCTTCCACATATTAGGTACAATACTGACTGACTAATCCACTACCACTACGAATTCGCATCCTCGTCCCCCAAATCAAAGTGCTTCCATATATTAGGTACAATACTGACTGACTAATCCACTACCACTACGAGTT